ATTTTCTGCGTAAAGATAAACAAGTTTTAGAAACCCCCCAAACTTTCTGAATGCGTATAGCCATGGGTTTAGCCCTTAACGAGGAAAAAAAAGAGCAAAAAGCCATTGAATTTTATCAACTAATGTCTAGTTTACGCTTTATTCCCAGCACTCCCACCCTTTTTCATTCCGGGCTAAAAAGAGCCCAATTAAGTTCTTGTTTTCTTTCCACTACTAACGATGATTTAGACCATATTTTTAAGACTTATTGAGACACGGCTAAATTGTTAAAGTATTCCGGAGGGGTGGCTACTGATTGAAGCAATTTACGAGCCATTGGGGCTTCGGTCAAAAGCATTAATATAGAAACCTCCGGGATGATAAGTTTTTTAAAAGGTGCCGAAGTTACTACTCATATGATTAGCCGTTCCGGACGCCGCCGCGGGGCGACCGCCGCTTACCTGGAAGTATGGCACTTAGAAATTGAGGATTTTTTAGATTTACGCCGCAATGTCGGCGATGAAAGAAGAAGAACCCACGGTTTAAATCTAGCGGCTTGAATACCGGACTTATTCATGAAACGAGTAAAAGAAAAAGGAAATTGAACCCTTTTTTCTCCTTCAGACACTCCCGATTTGCATCATATTTACGGGCTAAAATTTGCCGAGCGTTACCTTTACTATGAACAAGAATTTCAAGTAGGGAAAATTAAACTGGCTAAGCAAATTAAGGCTTTTGAACTGTGAAAAAAAATGTTGACTCGTTTATTTGAAACTGGTTATCCGTGAATTACTTTTAAAGATAGTTGTAATATTCGCTCTCCCCAGGACCATTGCGGGGTAGTCCATTCCTCTAACCTTTGTACTGAAATTACTCTTAATACTTCGGAAAAAGAAACCGCGGTCTGTAATCTTGGTTCGGTTAACTTGGCCCGCCACCTAAAAAAGGAAAACCAGCCAATTCAAACTGAAATAGCTGCTGTTGAAAAAATACTCCACCAAACAAGATTAAATTTATCTCAACTGACTGACGAAAATAGGGGAAAAAAAATCCCAGTAGCCAAATTTGAGTTAGAAGCAAAATTACTGGCACTAAAAAAACAATTACAATTTGATGATAATTTGTTACAGGAAACCATTACTTTGGCTATTCGCATGCTTGATAATGTTATTGACCTGAATTCTGAATTATTTACTGAACTTTGTCCGGAGGCGGAGTATGCTAATTCCCAGCATCGACCAATCGGCTTAGGCATGATGGGCTTTCAGGATGCTCTCTTTGAATTAGCTATTAATTATAATTCCCCCGCCGCCTTAAAATTTACTGATGAACTAACCGAAAAATTTTCCTATTATGCTTTGGCAGCCTCTTGCCAATTAGCCGAAGAACGAGGAACCTACGCCAGTTATCGGGGTTCTAAATGAGAGCGCGGAATTTTCCCCTTAGATACTTTGGATTTATTAGCAAAAGAACGGGGTTTACCAATAAAAACTAATCGGCAAAGCCAGTTAAATTGAAAAAATTTGAAAGCCCAAGTAAAAAAGTTTGGTTTGCGTAATTCTAATACCATGGCGATTGCTCCAACCGCTACTATCGCTAATATTGCTGGTTGTTATCCGTGTATTGAAGCCATGTATAGCAATATTTATGTCAAGTCCAATGTAGCGGGTGAGTTTACAGTGGTTAATAAATACTTAGTGACCGATTTAAAAAAACTAGGCTTATGAACTCAGGCCATTCTTGACCAAATTAAGTATTACGAAGGCAGTATTCAAAATATACCCGCCATCCCCCAAATTTAAAAGAAAAGTATCGGGGAGTTTTTGAAATTGACCCGCTGTGAATGATAGAAATAGCCGCCGTGCGCAGTAAATGGATAGACCAAAGTATTAGCCATAATGTTTTTGCCCAGGAAACTTCGGGCAAGAAACTTAACGATATTTATTTTGCCGCCTGGGAAAAAGGTTTAAAAACTACTTATTATTTAAGGACTTTGGGAGCCAGCCAAATTGAAAAATCTACTTTGGATGCCAGTAAATTTGGTTCTACGCAAAAAAG